AAAATTTCTTAATGTCTCTTTAATATTTTGCCCGACCCGGGAATCCTACTCGAGACCCCTTGCCCAGCAGTTGTAGTATGATAAACATGGAACATAAAAATATTGTTTGTTTTATAACATTAAAACCAAATTATGTCCAAGTCATTATAACTATGTATAGGTACATATGCATAATTAATTAGAGACAATCTGTGTTTGTGTTATAAAACAAAACAATAGGGGGTGTATGTGGCATTATCTACATTATGTATTTACTGATAAATAGATGACAACTAATTATTGGCTTGTTTATATACATTTTTTCATAATTATGTTCATCTTATTATTTTATTTGGATAATTACATTAACATAATTCTGTCAGTAGTTTCAGTTAAAAAATTGTTTTTCATGTCATGTTTATCATATATTTATTTACTTAGAAACCGTAAATTTGTTTACTATTTGTTTAGTTATTCTCTTTTTTGCTCTATAGTATATTATATACTTACCCACTTATCTTATGGAAGTATTATAAAACTGTGGTAAAGATAACATTAACAAATCATCAGACCATCTTAAATAAAAACAGAGAACTCTCACGTTTGTAATAGTTACTACATACAATAGTCGCGCGAGGACGCGAGGAGTAACCATAACCAACGTAACAAGCTTCATGACTCATTCAACATAAATGCTAGGTACTTACTTTTACTGGAATGCCAGACCAACTGATCTGTTTGAGTTCATTCAGGTCTATGACGGCGCTATCGTGCATCTGCTGGAACCTTTCCAACTTGGATTCACTACTCTCCTCGCGAGAAGTCAGCGCCGACAGTCTCACCGGCCGCGGTCTCCCAGGGTAGTGCCGCATCGGCCCCGAACCCCCTGCACCCAACTTCCGCACTTCATTTTTCTTCACTTCCACCGCCTCAGCCTTAGGCTTCACAATCTCACTCTCAACTTTTACGTCATTTTTGTTTACGTTCCTACTACTATTTCTATGCGAATTTATCACGTTCAAAGCAGCAGTTTGTGATATGGCCTTCGATATTTTAGTTTCAGCGATTCCAGATATGATATCGTCGTCGCCCAGGTCCCAGGCGTCGTTCACAGACGCCTGAAACTGTTGATACGATGACCCAGACATAACCTCGGTCCGTTTGACCGTTTGTAAAGGCCTGCCCGGGATCGCACGCTGTGGAGTCTTCCAAAATGTATCAGACAATACTCCGTTCTTGTCATATTCGGGTTGATAGCTGTCCATAATAAAATACAGCCGTGAACATTCTAAATAACTTTGTTGGACAACAAAAAATTACAGTGAAAATGTTGTTGATATGACATATCACTAGACTAACCACAAACAATTTGCATTCCAACCTACTTAACTATTCTACTTCTACTTGTGACGTGCCCCATATTGCTATCCTTTTCTTAATAGTTGACGTTGAAAGAGAATACCGAGAAAACATTCCATAGTACGCCATTCTTGGAATGCCAAACATGTAAATGAATCAAAGAAAACGTGTCACTAAGCTGAAACAGATGATTTTAGTCTATGGTTTTTATTTATAAACTTATTTTACGAAACATTAAAGAAACTTTAAGAAACCTACCGCTCTACCAGAATGAAACTTTATTTTTATTTAGACTGAGTCAAAACTGCGAGAGTGCTATATCCTATAACTTATTCCCCTTGCCAGTATTAAATATAATTTGTTAACAAATCATTCTTTGACCATGTGAAAGGTTAAAGGTTACTGACCATTGACCATTAGTCATTAGGTATCTACCTACATTAATCATAAGCTGAGCTCACTAATGAATTTATAATGCTTTGAAAACTATGATTTTAAAGGTGCGGTATTTTTGATGAAAAATGCATGACAAAGAAATAAGGAATGAAAGACAATATTTTTATTATATGCAAACTTTATCGTCAATTACTTTCTCGCTTGTTTGTTACATTGAAATTGAAAAAATAAATGTGTCATTTTAACCAATAATTATTATAATAAATAGGTTATGCCGGGATTTTTTTGATTTTGTAAATACATACCTACTGGAAATAATATATTTTTGAGTCATATCTATCAGTATATTTTAAATTGTGTGAAGTTTAATATTTAAAAACAAAGTAAGGCAAATTTTACTGTTGCAACAACGGCAACGTCGTATTTTACCTATTTGAAACGAATCAGTGCCTACTTTGATAACAAACTATCGTTTCTAGGAGGCTTATTAGATCGATAAATCGAAATGTACAGGTGAAATTCTTTGTGTTATGTAAAACGTGATTTAAAAAATGTCTAGTCAACGTCCCGAGTCCGATTCAATGTTTATGCAGAGGGGCGATGGACCGAGGAGTCGGAGTCCGTCGCGGTCCGAACCTTCGTCTCGAAGAAACTCGGCCAGAGACAGCGAGACAGCTGAAACGATTACGGTCAAAGACTTTTTTGACTTTATGAAGACAGCGTACCAAGTTTACGAGCACTTAGAGGGTGACGATGATGAAGGAACAAAGATAGATTGGGAGGAGTTGACGAAATTGACCGTGATCAACCATGTCATAGAGCAACAGGAACGCGACCTTCTTTATCAAACAGCTTTCAATGAACCAAAGCCGTCAGTCAGTAAAAGCGAGTGTGCAATCGAACCAAGGAGTATCGAGGACCGACTTGAAAAGAGATATAGTTGCAGTGAACTAGAAGGTAACGTTATTCGGTATTAACTTTAATCCTGTTGATTACCAGGGAATCGAACCTGCGACACGTTGCATGCTGGTTGTTTAACCGCTGCGCCTGTGGCATACCTAATAGCTGACTGATTAGTTCAGTATTATTATTGCGTAAATTGGATTGGCAGCATAATTAATATGTCGCGGATTCGATTCCCGCATGGTGCAACACTCTTTTCTTTGTGATCCATAAATTTGAGAGTGGTGTGTCACATAAATATCACACTCAAATACTGTGAATTAGTATGTTTTTGAACTCATAAAAAGCTAATACGAAATCACATGTACGTAAAAAAATTGACAATATAGCGATACCGCCATCTAGTTTGAATTTATAGAACAATTATTATTTTCATCAGGACGCCGTCGGTCGTTTCCTCCCGAAGCCAGAGTTGAAATGCTCGGTGTTTGGACTGAAGCTAATTTAAACTGCAAACTTAATGATGTGAGTATAACAAATAAAAAAATAACGTCAATAAATTAAACTGTCAAATACCAAGCGGTCACCGGTGACCGCAACCTATTGTTCTATAATTGTGTCTACAAAACCGGTACTCGACGAGTTAATAACGTAGTTTAGTAAGCACACCAATAGATAGAGCTTAACATAATATTTTATTTCAGGTAGTGAATGAAGGCATTTTAGATTCTATTTTGCCCTACCTGGTTGGATACAAGAAACCTTCAAAAACAGCGAGTGTTTATACTCCAATAATAAAGAAAGTACCGTCTGGTACTACAGTGGAAGTAAAGAAACCTGCTAGTTTCGGAGGTAAAAAAAATATATAAATAAACATTTAGAAAAAAATACACGAAGTGTCTTTGGAAATAGTCTAATTACCTTTTTTTTAATATTAAAAAGGTTTCGTTGACGAAAAAGACTCAAGAGATCGACTTGGGAGACGCAAGTCTTCAGTGACAATAACACAAGATCGAAATAATACTAAACAAGAGTAAGTATGTAATAATGATTATTTATTATGAAAAAGTTTTATTTTATTTTTAAACAATATGTGTATTGTGTATAGTTATTTCATCTTCCATTTCAATATCCGATATGGTCTAGTGGCTAGGATACCTGGCTCTCACCCAGGAGGCTCGGGTTCGATTCCCGGTATCGGAAAATCTTTTTGTAATTTTATGACTCTTGTTTTCAGGGGAGACGTAGAAATTCACGTGTGTGATGAAGTGAAAGGCCTCAAAAAAGATTTTAGATGTCCTCAAAAACTTTTAATATCGAAAATGGGTTATTTCGCTGACGTCACTGCGGGTCAGAGATTAGAGGACATGGATATTTCTGTACATTGTGATATACAGGTAAATAAATACTTACGACATCATAAAGAAACTGTAAATCTCTCATTTAATTACCTACTTTAGCCAAAATAAAGCGAGTTTGCGAATATCTTGGGTCTAATCTAACTACATATTTAAATCATTTGCTCCTACTAATATTTGGAGAGCAAATAGTTGTTGTTTAGCGTAAATACTATGCAGAACAAAATGTCACACCGTACCAAATAATACCTCGTTGAGATTGTAACTGAATCAACACCCAATAATACTTTACCTGACCTTTTTTAAACGAAACTCTTGGTCGTAATGTTACTATGTCTGTACAGTACATCAAGCTACATAATTTCAATTTATTATGGTACCTCTTTGTAATGATCTTTCCACATAATCGACTGTTAGTTTATAATGGTTCTGCATAGTAATTATATGTAGCCTATGTGAGCCCAATGGGTCCCACCGTATTTTTACTCACCAGATGGTGCTAGTGTAAACCTTTCATTCTTCGTCCAATATGGAATCAGCTGGTGTCACCTCATTGGACATTCGATATTTGACAAGTGCTGTAATTGGCCTAAAAATCTCTTATTTTAGATCTTCGACTGGTTGATGCGCTGGGTGAAAAGGGACACTATTCTGGTAGCCGACTGGCCTCTACTTGACCCGCATAACGTGGTTCCTATTCTGGTGTCTGCGTCATTTCTACAGGTATGTACACACGCACATTTTTATAATTATGTACCTGTTCGTAATGTTCCAGAGCAGCAAAGCGTGATTCAATGTACAATCGCCTGTTTTATACCTCTATTGCTTGCAACGTAGCTTACTTTTTCCCCCTATTCCATAACAGAGATGCTGAACTGAACAACAGTTGACTTTTTTAAATATTAGAAAAGTTCCGATATTAAAAGGAAATTACAGCTAAAGTATTTCTGTTAAAAGTTAATTATAAATAAGTGGTAATTAATACAGATGGAGCCGCTGCTACATGACTGCCTGATCTACTGCCACGCTCACATCAATGATATCGTGAAGACATCAACTAATTTAGCGTGCCTTAGTGATGCATTGCTTACCAGGTAACCAAGTAATATTACCCACGTTGTAAAAAAACAATGGATTTCGATTTATTACAGTCCAAAGTGTAAAAATTGTAATAGACACCTACTTATTGCAATCAAAAGAAATTGCCATTGCAAAATGAATTTTAAAGAAATTCATTAAGTACATATTTAGGTTACGTACAAAATCTTCTTCTTCTCTGTCGTTTCGCTCTTGGCAGAGCGGTCGTGGTCACGCTGAGGCGGCCGTATTTGTGTTGGTGGCCGATACAGCTTTCCTCACGATTTCCCGCCATACAAAATACTTAGACATAAAATACTTGTCGCGGAGAACCTAACGGGTAACCGGGGCTCCGACTCGACGTGCAGGAGAAGGAACGGGGTGGTTTTTAGTCAGTAAGAGTCTGACACTCCCTCCCACCTCACCCAGGCGGGAGCAGTCATTCGATGATTTTCCCCCCTTAAAAAAACACATAAAATACTTAGATATTTTTTTCATTTATCCAGATTAGCGGCGATGTACACAAACGCAGAATTGGAAGCCATCAGAGATCGGAAGGATAAGATCCAATCGCGATTATATTGCAAAATGATCCTGTCTCTAGCCGAGCCAGTGCCGGAGACCCTCAGAGGTCATTACGCCACTCTCGCCACACTTTTCAAGTGCAACAAGTACGTATATTAAAGCTTTATGAATGTAGCATCCCAAACGAAGCGATTTGACAGAGAACTAAAGTTACCGATATAGCCGGAAAGATTGGAAAGCTGAAAGCGGGCCGGTCACAAAAAATTGAAGGTGGTTACTCTGTTTCATGAAATTGGTTGACCAAATGAAACGTAGTGTTACGCTTGGACCTGGTAGATGAATGTATAGGCATCTCAAATCTCCAATAGTATCCTACGGAGCTCGGTCTTCCAATACTTAATCTCTGCCAGTCACTTTACTGATATTGTTAGCCATAACTCACGATCTTCTATTTAAACTTCTAATGTTATTCTTAAAATTAACCTATGATATTTTTAAGGGCTTTTCGCAATCATTACTTCTCTTTGGTTGACCAGATGCAACAAGCTACTAGGGCGCCATATCGCCGAACAGGTGCCGTGTCAGCCCGCCAGTATGCGGATTGATCGACGTGGAAATGTCGTGTCTTCTCACACCAAGTAAGCATGTTCTTTTATCAGCTGTTGTCCTAGTACCTCACCTGGTGTGTCTAAGATCTAAAAAGCCTTATTACCTACTATGTCACTATCTGATTCAAGGCTATGTTTGATTATTTATAGGGA